AACTTCCTCTGATGAGGGGGGGGGGGAGGGGGGTTTACTGATTGCTTCCCAGCATCGATCGACGCCACCGTCAAAGAAAGCATCGGCTTCAGCATCAGAGCCAGCATCGACGTCAGTATGGACATCAGCATTAACTCTTGCATCCACGGCAACCATGACGCCAGCATCGACACGAGCAACAAAGACATCATTGACACCAGCATCGGAACCAACGTTCCCGACACCATCAAAACCAGCACCGGCCCCAGCACCATCGCCAGCACTGACGCCAGCAACGATGCCAGCATCGACCCAGCATCGGCACCAGCATCGAAGACAGCACCGACCAGTAATGACCCCAACATCGACCTCCGCACCGGCGCCACCATCAACTCCAGCATCAACGCCGGCATCGCAGAATGCACTGACTCCAGCACCGGAGCAAGCATCTACGTCATCGCTAAGAACAGCATCGACTCCAGCACCGACGCCAGCATCGACCATAGCAGCATAGTAACGCAGACAGCACTGACTCTGCCATTGGAGGCAGCAGCGACGTCAGTATGGACCAGGACTGACTCCAACAACACAGCCATCAATGACGACAGCATCGCTTCCCGTATCGGTGCCAGCACCGAGGGCAGTTTTGATCCTAGTCTCGAAGCAATTCTTGACACCAGCACTGATCACAGCATCAACGCCAGTACCAAAGCCAGCACTGACGCCAGCATCGACTCCAGCATCGGCACCAGCACCGAAATCAGTAGTGACGCCAGTATCGCAGCCAGCACCGACTCCAGCACCGACACCAGTAACGACCCCAGCATCGACGCCAGCACCGACGCCACCATCAACCCGAGCGCCAACGTCAGCATCGAAGACAGCACTGACTCCAGCACCAGAGCCAGCATCTACGTCATCACAAACACCAGCATCGACTCCAGTACCGACGCCAGCACCTCCGCCAGCATCGACACCAGCACCGACCCCAGCATCGCAGACAGCATTGACTCCACCACTAGGGCCAGCAGCGACGTCAGTATCGACACTAGCACTGACTCCAGCATCAAAGCCATCAATGACGCCAGCATCGACGCGAAGCCAGAATCGACGCCAGCACCAGCACCGAAGACAGAATCGACTCCAGCGCAGGAATCTGCATCGACGTCTGCACGAACGCCAGCATCGACCCCAGCGTCGAAACCACCACCGACCCCAGCATCGAAACAAGCACTCACGACAATATCGACGCCAGCAACCGCGCCAGCTTCAATGCCAACATCGAACCCCACAGCGACGCCAGCATCGTCTACAGGGCTGACCTCAGCACTGGCGCCAGCAGTCGCACCATCATCGAGGACAGCTTCGAGCCCAGCAACGGTGCAAGCGCCGACGTCAACATCGACACCAGCACTACCCCCAATATCAAGGTCAGCATTGACGCTAGCACAAACAACAATACCGGAGACGACATCGACGAATTAAATTATCGGAACCAGCATCGACACCAGCATCGACACTGGTATCGACTCTAGCAACGAAGCCAGCACTGACGCCAGCACCGACGTCAGCATCGAAACCAGCATCGACACCAGCAACGGCACCAGTCCCGAAGACAGTAGTGACCCGAGTACGGCAGACAGCCCTAGCGTCAACATCGACGCCTTTGCCGACCCCAGCATCGACACCAGTTCCGACCCCATCATCGATCCCAACATCAGCGCCAGCAGCGAATACGGCAGTGACTCCAGCACTGGAGCCAGCATTACATCATCGGCAACGCCAACATCGACTCCAGTCTCAACGCCAGTACCCACTCAGTACCGACCCCCGAATCGACGCTAGCATCCAAGGCAGAATTGAATCCAGCATTGGAGCCAGCAGCGACGCCAGCAAAGACACCAGTGCTCAGTCCAGCATCCCAGACAGCAATCACGCCAGCATCGATGTCAGTATCGAAGGCTACGTTCACCCAAGTCTCGCAGCCAGCATCGACGTCATCATCGACATCAGCACCGACTCCAACATCGACGCCGACACTATCGCCATTATCGACGCCAGCATCGACTCAAACACCGAAGACAGCGCCGACTCCAGCACAGGAGCCTACATCGACGTCCGCACCTATGCCAGCATCGACCCCAGCATCGACGCGAGCAACGACGCCAGCATCGGCAGCAGTACTGAAGACAGTAGTGACCTCATTGCCCCAGCTAGCACCGACGTCAGCATCGACCCCAGCATCAGCCCCAGCAACAACGCTATCATCGAAGACAGCACTGACTGCAGCATCAGAGCCAGCATCTACGTCATCACCAGTACCAGCATTGACGCCAGCCCCATCGATCCCCGCATCGACGCTAGCATCGAAGACTGCACTCACTCCAGCATCCACCCCATCCCAGCACGGCGCCTGAACAAAATGGGATCCCCTGGCCCCTACCAAGGCGACGTGGGCTTGGAACCAGCAGCGATGTCCCTACCGACGCAGGCACTGGCTCCAGCAGCGAAGCCACCGATGACGCCAAGAACGACACCAGCATCGATGCCATCATCGAAGGCATCGTTTATCGCAGCTTGAAGCTAGTATCGACGGCAGCATCGACACCCGCACTGACTCCAACATCGACGCCAATACTAACGCCAACATCGACGCCAGCATCGACACCAGCACCGAAGACAACATCGATTCCAACACAGTAGCCTGCATCGACGTCTGCACCGACGCTGGCACACACGCCACCATCGAGCCCAGCATCAACGCCGGCACCGACGCCAATACCGACGCTCGTATCGAGGACAGGATCGGCTCCCGCCACGACAGCATCGACACCACCACCAAATTCAGCATCGAAACCGACCCTCACAACAGCCTCGAAACCAGCCCTCCTACGCGCCCATCGACACACACACCATGACTGCGAGAGGCGTGGCTCGCCGACCATCCACACGACGTCATACCCGACGTTCCCGCCGACGCCCCGTCTGACACCTTCCCCGACTCCCTCCTCGACGCCCCATTCCGCGCTTCACTCGGCGCCCCACCTAGCGACCAATAGCAGCGCCACGGGAACAATGATTGTGACCGGCAGCAGCACCACGCCCCGCTCTTACCCCATAGACCCACATGGCTTCCGCGCCTGGCACGACTGCTGGCCCCCGACGCTCCACATCGACGGACGAGCAGCAGTACCAGGGGCTGCGGCCAGCAGCACCATAACGAGCGCCACGACGGCGAGAAAGAACATCACTACCGAGACCTCCACCAACACCACCACCGAGACCTCGACCGCGACCAGCAGAATCGCAACCCGCACCGCGATCGTGACCAACGGGACCACTACCACCACGGCTGCGACCGGCACACCACGACGCCCTACTCCGCGCCCCACCCAACGCCCAACCCAACGACCAGCAGCAGCACCACGTGTACTACGATTCCGACCAGCAGCAGCGCCACGACTGCTTTCAGCAACACTGCCACCAAGGCGGAGACCAGCACTACCACAAGGACTGCGACCAGCAGCGCCGCAGCGTGCACCGCGCCTGCGACGGCCAGCATCACAACCTAGACTGCAACCACCAGCAGCATCATGACGCCAATGCTGTGACTAGCAGCATCACCACGACCCCACGACCGCAAGAGCAACCAGCAACACCACGACTGCCACCTGCACCCTGCCCACCTGCCCTCGCCCTTGGGCCGTGCGGCTCACGGCTCCCCCAGGCGAGAACGAGGCCCCCACTCACACAGTGAGGGGCCTCAGAGCGGCACAAGGCTGCGCGGCATGCCCGGCAGCACCCTTCCGCCGACCCCGACGCGAACCTGGCAGCCCCCTCGACCCACGCCCTCCCAGCACCCACCCACGACTCACCACCACCACCACCACTACGTTCGCGCCACCTCCCCCAACGGCCACCTCCTGCACCCGGACCACGGCGCCGGCGCCACCATCGCCGTCGCCCCCCTCGAGGGGGAGCGTGCCGCCCTCCCATTTGGACGCCCAAACTGGCTACGGAGAAACGGCCGCTGTTGGGCAGACCCCCCCCACCAGGGGGCGTCGCTGCGCCATGCCATGTCAGGCTACGCGTCCTCATTTCCACGCTTCCGCGCTTCGTTTTTTCTGAAAATGCTGCTCTCGCTGAATGGCTGGCCTTCTGTTCGAGCTACCACTCGTTCCGAATCGTGCTCCCGCTGCAGCGCTGGCATCATTTCCGCGCTTCCGCTCGTTCCGAATCGTGCTCCCGCTGCAGCGCTGGCGTCATTATTTCCAGTGTCATGCCACGGCATGGTTTTCGGTCCTTCCAAGTAGGCCCCAAAATCTAAAAAAATGCCTCCCGAAGAAACCATCGGAAGTGATTGCACATTCGGTGCCGATTGTTTTATTTGTTGGGCCGCAGACGCCCCCCCCTTCATTTTAAGGCGCCGCCACGCCATGCTACGTCATGCCACGCGCAAAATATTCAGCACCATGCTATGCCATGCAGCGCTATGCCATGCTGCGACATCCGATTGTGCGAATGGGGAGGAGATCTGCGCCATGGCAAGGGATGGCAGGAAGGGGTACAGTCGGACTTGATTGGAGAGGACACGCGAGAAGACACAAGACCCTCCCGAGGGCCACGCTGCCACAGAAATGCAGGAGGCATGGGTCGCAAGACACAGGACACGAGGGTACCCCTGATCTGGCAGGGTCGACCTACTAATCCGGGCCACCTGTATGAAGGGGCCCCAGGACACAGACATAAAAACACACAAATAAAATGATTCCCCATATTTTCCCATATTTTCTGGGTTTTTGTCTTCCCCACCACTTCCCATAATTTCCCATATTTTCTGGGGAATTGACGATTCATTGTGTCTGTGTGTTTCTTTTCCTCCTGACTGTAGGACGTCAGATATGACGCGAGCGCACCCAGCTTGCCTCCCTCCCCTCTCCCTCCTCACGTCGCCCTCCCTCCATGTCCCCCCCCCTCCCCGCGAGAGGGCGCGCGCGCGCGGGCGGGCGGGCGGCGGGCGCCGATGAGCTGCGTGCGGGCCGAGCCGTCGGGTGTCGCGGCCGGCGGGGGGGCCGCGGCCGTGACCTCCTGAGGGGGGGCGGCTCCTCCTCCTCCTCCTCCTCCTCCTCCTCCTCCTCCTCCTCCTCCTCCTCCTCCTTCTCCTCCTCCTCCTCCTCCTCCTCCTCTTCCTCCTGCAGGAGTAGGAGGAAGTGGAGGAGGAGAAGGAGGTATGGGTAAAGGTAAAGGAGGAGGTCGATGACGATAACGACGACGACGACAAAGACGACGACGACGATCCGGCGACGACGACGATCCGGCGGCGACGACGATCCGACGATCCGACGACGACGACGAGGGGAGAGGAGGAGGAAGGCAGGGAGGGAGTTCAGAATGGGAATGTGTTCTTCCTCCTCCTCCTCCTCCTCCTCCTCCTCCTCATCCTCCTCCTCCTCCTCCTCCTACATGCGGGGCGTTGTCTGATGTGGTTCCTCCTTTCCTCCTCCTCCTCCTCCTCCTCCTCATTCTCCTAAGGACTGACATACAGGGAATGTGAAGAAAGAAGACCAAGATGATAAGCCTGACCATGAGAGGAAGAGTCGGGGAGTACGCAGCGACAGTTGACCCGTGCGGCGGCAGCTTCGTGTGGTAGCGTGGACAACAGGAAGGTTAAGGGTAGGTGCGAATTCAAGATTCGGCGGTGGAGCGCTGGACTGCGAGGGCCACTACCCGTTGGCATGGCCGCTTCTAATGGCCGCGGCCGCCCTGTTCCTTACCAGGAGGGGCGGCAGTGGAACGTGACCCCGTCCCCGGAAGTAACCACCCCATCCCCCTATCTCCTGGTGGCAGTGACCGCGGTCGGGCCGCGCACACTCGTCTTCAAACATTGCACATGGTTTGGCATGATGTAGGACTGTCAGGGCGCAAGTAATACGTTGATTGGCGGTGTTCAAGTCCCAGCAGTGGTATTCCTGGCACGATTCAGGATCGTCAAGACGCCACAGTAATGCTGTTTCGTGGCGTTGAAGTCCCAGGAGCGGTGTTCTGGCACGGTTCATGATTTTCGAACAGTTGTCTTCCAACCGCACACTTCCCTCATCGAAAATGAACACATGTAGGGGCCTATGAAGAAAGAGTCTGGAGGGAGGACTTATTGCAACATAGATGCTGGGCCTTGGGCTTACACTGGCCCTCCTCCTCCTCCTCCTCCTCCGCCTCCTCCTCTCTTCTTCTTCTTGTTATTCTTCTTCTTCTGTTTCTCAGTGTTTCCTCCTCCTCCTCCTCCTCCTCCTCCTCCGCCTCCTCCTCCTCCTCATCCTCTTCATCCTCCCTCGCTGCCCCTCTGCCCCCCCCCCCCCGCTCCTCCTCGTCCTTCCCGCCCTCCGCCCCTCCTTCCATCAACGCCATCATCGCCCCCTCCTGCTCGTCGTCGTCTCCGCCATCCTTCTGCGGATCCTCCCTCTCATTATCGCCCCATCCCCTGGCCAGCGGAACCTGGCCAGCGCCGACCCAAGAAATCGTCGCGCATCTCAACACGAAAATGGCTATATGGCACTATTTCTGGGCGAAGAGGTAGACCAGGGGCCAGGTACATTGGGGTTCGCGCATCATGTACGCCAGGTATTTCTGGGCGAAGAGGTAGACCAGGGGCGCAAATGTACACTTGCGGAGCTCCTCTCCCCTCCCCCATCCCTGGATCCTCTGGTAACTGCATAACTGCTGGAACCCCCCACTACGGCACGCAGAGCACGCCAGGGGCTGCGCTGAAGCCCCTCAAGAGGGTCCCAGCGCCAATCCAAGAAAAAAGAGCTCTGTTTCCCTCGAGACCTGTTTCCCACAGGACCCGTCAGCTTCATGGCAAATCTCTCCCCTGGCCCCCCCCACTCTCTGGCCTTGAGCGCGGGGAACAACTTCTTTAGCATGTCCACCAGCTCCCCTCGCGGCCGCCGGAGGGGAGCGCCGCGAGTGGGAGGGCACAGGCGTGGCGACTATCTCCTGGGAGGATGCTACGACTATAACGACGATGGTGATGATGATGGTTGTGATGACGACATTAGCGCCGATCATGACGTTTGACGATGACGATAGCTTTGGCGATGACAACATTGACGATGATGGCATTGACGCTGACGGGACTAACGATGACGATGACGACGGTGGTGACGATGACGAGTATGGCATTGACGCTGATGATGACGATGGACGGCGCCGAACCCTGCCCCAACTCCCCTCAGAAGTGCCGCACGGGGCGAATTCGATCTGCCAACTCGCTGCCAGCGGGGCTCGAAGACCACGAGCGGAGTGATCCTGCGCCTTACGCGGTAGCTCAGGCTCTGGCCTTTGTTGGACATCGGCCCCGATAGGGGAGCATCAGTGCATCCCCTCCTCAGGCTCCCCTTCCCTGGATGATCAAAAGGACAAACAATGCGACCGCCTTGTCCTTACACGGCAAGGCGGCCTCAGAGTCGCCCGGCAGTGCGAGCCCAATGGACCGCTGCAGCAGCGGTCCTGACGAATCGACCCTCGAGTTCCCCAGGGCTTGCCAAGAAAATACCGGCATCGGATTGCGACAATGTTTCGCCAACACGGCAGTACACGTACTCCCCCCACCTGTCCCCTTGATTGGTAAGGGGCGGAAGAACCGACCTCGCTTTCGACCACCCTCGTTTCCAAATAGTAACCAAGCAATGCCAACTTGCTCGCGAGGAGCGTGAGTGTGCCCGCCAATCCTCCCCAAACTCTCTGGCGCCTCCTGCCACTTCGCACTGCCGAGCCCCGCACTCAGAAACGTTGTCCTGAACGACGTCAAAGCCGCCACCGTGCCCCATGGCACGTTGAGGCGTGGTAGAATGCCAGGTGTTGCCTGGCAGGGTCCCTGTAATCTTTTAAGGGCCCCCCCACCTCCTCGGGAAGCGCCTCGCTGCGTGCACTGGCCATGCTCCTTGGGGGTTCCTGGGCGGCCATGCCGCCTCCCTGGGGTTCTCCTAAGATTCCACAACTGCCCAGGAGGCCTCCAAGACCGTCCAAGGGAGCCTCGAGTCGCCGAACGATCGCTCGAAGACGCCCCAGATAGCCTCAAGATGGCGCAAGAGGCTTCCAAGGCGCCCCAAGAGGCCTCCAAGAGGTCTCCCAAGGCGTCTCCCAAGAGGGCCCCCAAAGGCAAACTTCCTGGATGTTCCTTGCGTGTTTGAAGGATTTGGGCCTTCTCGCCTTGTCGGCCGTGCGACGCTCCAAGACGGCCCAAGAGGCCCCCAACACCACCCCAAAACATCCCAAGAGGCCTCCCAAAGGGCTCCAAGATGGCCTAAGAGCGCCCCAAGACGGCCCAAGAGGCAGAAGGGCCCCAAATGGGGCCCCAGAATGGGAACCCGAACCGAACATCCGAGCCTTCCGCCCCAAGGGGCCCCCAGGAGGCCCCAGGAGGCGCCCAAGAGGGCCCGAGACGCCTTCAAGAGGCCCCCAAGAGGCCCCAAAACGAAGGCCTCAAAACTGCCTCCGAGAGGCCCCAAGATTCCTCCCACGAGATTCCAACGAACATCCATTAAGCTTGTATACCACAACCCAGGCACGGTGGCGGGACTTGCCGTAGGCAGCTGGATATCAAACCAAACGGCGCAAAACTTGATATACTGTCGTGGTATACTGCCGAAGGTTTCTGGTATGATGCCAAGTGCCGTTCGGCATGGTCCGCTGGCGTAAAGTAACTATGCAAACGCGAGTTTGGTATCATACCAAACACGCGTGGTACAATTCAACTTTTCTCGGTAGCTTCCCCAAACTATTCCAGCACGATTCCAGCACATTCCAGTACGATTCAAGTGTTCCCAGCATGGTACCAAGTTATCCTGGCACGTTGCCGAACGTCACTTGGGAGGGTATCTAGGAGCCCCGTGGCTTGGCAATGCGATGCGGCGGATGACGCGCGCGCTGCCAAACTAAAAGTATACGATATGCCTTGGTTGTGATTGGAAGCGACAGCGGGGGAGGTAAATCTCCTTCTGACTTGGAGCAGGGACCGGTGGGGAAGTGAGGTGCACTGAGGTGTGCTGGGCTGGCATGAGCGGGATGTTTACCGGCAGACGTGTTACCCACAAACCGTTTCTTTTTGTTTTGGAGAGGGGCGCGGGGAGAGGGGGGAGGGGGGGGCGTTCTCTCTCCAACCTGGGTGCGGCATTCCACCCTCTCCATCGGTGTGGCAGCTGGGCCCAACAAGCAAGATACCAACGTCGCAAACTATCGCCGCCAGCGCCGCCAACACAAGGCCGACGAACGCGTACCCTGCTGGAGCAGCAAGGATGCGATTGGGCACAAGGAAAGCGAATTGGGCTGTCATCGGAATTACGTTGGAGAAGGATGCTTACATCTGAACGCAGCTGCGCAAGAGAACCCCCGGAATAGCAACACGCATGTACCAATGTTGTGCGACTGACGTGTCACGCAGGAGGACGAAGAGGACAAGTACGACGAGGACGAGGAGGATGGGGTTCAGAGAGAGAGAGAGAACTTGAGAACAACGCAGAGGACATGGGCAGTCGACCGTCCAACTGCTACATAGGGTTCAAACCAACATGCAAGTTGCGGCTCCAACGCAAAGCGGCTCGTAAACGCACGCGCTCCGTCTGTACAGTAGCACCCATTGTCGCTCTCGTCGTCCACCAGCTCCTGCGCGGGGACACGTTGCGGTGGGACCAGCTCAGGGGGGAAACATCGACTTGGAATCCAGCGATGCATGGCAGACAGATCGCCGCGCCGAATGCCGCGGCGGAACACGACGCATCGACGAGGCGAACGGCACACCAGCACCCGCGTATCACGACGGTGTTGGCCGTGCCAAGGCGGTCGGATGCAATACCCCCCCCCCCGGCCTGTGAGACGCTTGCTGCCGTGACCAAAAGCAATATGCGGAAGTACAGGCCCCGAGCACAATCAGGGCCATGGCCCGCGCCAGGCAATCAAGTCAGAAGCTGAGCACCCAGCAGGCACCAACAGGCACCAAGGTTAAGACCCCATCCCCACCACACTTCTCAGTCACGAAAGCGATCACGAAGTTCTCCCCCCAGCAATTCGCAAGCGCCCATCGCGAACCCTTGGTCGCGACCGGCGAACACGGCACCGAGAGCCATCACAACCACCAACCTTTCCAATGAAACATGTGCGGACCAACATAAGGTCCCGAGTCGATTCAGATACTCAACGACGCCAATGTGCACGCAGACACCACGGGTGCTGTTAAGAGGTGTGGTCCAAGGGCGCGATGACAAGAACCTGCTACGGGCTTTCATAGCTGGAATAAATAATTCGCCGGCCCAACGGGCCAGAGGCGTGCTAAGATCTCCGGTAACTGGTTAACAATTTTCTAGTTCGCGCGCGCGGGGCGGCCCCTGGGGGTCCCCGGACGAAAAGTACCCCGACCAGGTCCCGGCCGGTCCCCGGCCGGGTCCCGGCCGGGTCCCGGCCGGGTCCCGGCCGGGTCCCGGCCGGGTCCCCCCGAGCGCTCCATGAGCGCACCAACAGGGCTCCGAGACGTCCCCGAGAGCCCCAAGAAAGGCCAAGAGGCCCCCAAGAGGCCCCCAAGATGGTACACGAGGGGTCCGACATGCCACAAGATCGCTCCAAGACGCCCAAGATAGCCCCCAGACGCCCCAAGAGGCCTCCAAGAGCACTCCCAATAGGGCCCCCGGAGGCAAAAATCATTGTTTTTCCATAGGTTTTTGAGAGATTTTGGAGCTTCCACCTTTTCGGCTTCCCGACGCCCCAAGACGGCCCAAGAGGCCCCCAAGATCGCCCCAAGAGGGCCCAAGAGGCACCCAAGAGGGCCCCAAGATGGCCCAAGAGGGCTCGAAGACGGCCCAAGAAGCCTCCAAAACGGTCCAAGAGGGCCCCAAGAACGCCCCCAAAGGGGCCCCAGAGAGGGAACACGAAACAACATTTCGAGCCCTCGGCCCTAAGAAGCCCCTACGAGGCCCCTAAGAGGCCCCAAGAGGCCCCCACGGGGCCCTCAGGAGGCCCCCAAGAGTCCCCCAAGCGGCCCCAGGAGGCCCCCCAAATGCCCCCCCGAGCGCCCCAGGAGTCCCCCAAGCGGCCCCAGGAACCCCCAAAGCGCCGCATTGACACCAGGCCCTCGGGCAAACGGCAGACATGAGACTGTATGGGCCGGCGGAATGAGCGAAGCGATTAATATTTCCCAACGCCATGGGCCCAGAAAGGCATGAATGAGAAAGGATGCTCCTTGCATGGCCCTGGGCCCTGAATGGCAGGAACGTGTTGCTCCTACTCTTCCCGCACCATGTATCCTGCTCCCTCTCCTCCTGTTCCTCCTCTTCCTCCTCTTCCTCCTCCTCCCTCGTCTCTCCACTCATCATCCAACCATCATCACCACACCACCACTATCATCATCACCCTCTTCATCATCATCTGTATCACCATCTCACGCCCTCCTCCGCCCCCTCTGCCCTCCTTCTCCTGCTCCTCCATCGCCCCCCATTCATCCCTCCTCCCTCCTCTCCTCGCCCCCCTCCTCGTCGTCGTCCTTGTCGTCTGATCTCTGCTTCTCCATGCCTCCCTCATCCGTATCCTGTCTGCTGCACCTCCTGCTCCTGATGCTCCTCCTGCCACCCCATGTACGTCCTCGTCCTGCGCGCCCCCTCCCCCGCCTAGCCCCTGCCTGCCTCTGCCCTGCCCCAATCCCACCATGCCCCTTAGCTCACCCACTCCCCCTCCCCCCCACCCTTCCTCCCCCATGCGTGCCCGATCGTACCCTTGTCGAAGAGCTGGCACGAGCCCCTAGACCCTGAGTGCCAGGGTAACGTCCTGTACCTTCCTGTCATCGCTCTTCCTCCCCCCTCTCCTCTGAGGATGGGCCTGGATGAGCAGAATGCGCATCGGCAGCGCTTCGGACAGAGTCTGGGGGACAATTGCTGGCCACTTTGTCTCGCTGTCCCACAGCTTCCCGCGATGCGAAAGTAGGCCCCCATAAGTACCCCGTCCCCTCCATCTGTCCACTCCTTCCCCGAGGCCCCAGCCAAGGTAATGCGTAAACCAGTCGCGCAGAAGCGGCGCAATCGCACGACACCTCCCCCCAGAAGACCCCAGTAGCTGGTATCAAACTCCTCCTGCGCAGTCGCACCCTTTAACTCTGCGATAATCCCTCTGATGACGTTCACAGCGACGCTGCTCCGCGTGCCCCCAACCAGCCCGCGCACCCACTCCCCGCAGGCGTTCCGCGAATACATCGAGGTTGATCCCCTCGTTGGGGCCTCTTCCATTGCTGCATGCAAGCACGAGGACGAATGGCAGGCATGTCGTGCGGCCGTCAAGGCAATTTCCTCTACACTCGCCGATCTGTGCATCTCCCCGCCCCTCACTAGCAGAACCCCCGCCTGCTCCCACCTCCACCTCTGCTGCGAAATCTCTGAGCGATGACTGCGAAGAGCCCTACTGGATAATAGTGGAGCAATCAACGGTCAACACGTACGAGCAAAAAGGAGAAGGTAACGAGCAATCACACCCGGCCATGGGGGTCGAGGACTCGAAGGTGCGGCGCGGCGAAACTGCCGAACACTTCGGGGGGGCAGTCCGACGCCGCTGGCTTGCGAGGAAGGGCTTGCGGGCGTGATGGGACAAGGGCGGGGTGGGAGGCCGTCGCGGTTGGGCCAGAGCTGCGTGTCGGCTAGAATGCGTTATCCGTGGAGAGCAGGCCCCACAGTGGCGTCAAGGAAGAAACTCTGAACAACAACGTGTCTCTGCATCCCTCGGATATAGGCGTGGCATCCGAGCCATACTATATGCCTCCTTTCAAAACTAACATGTGAAGATGCAGTTGGCAGACGGCACGTTCCAAAGAAGCCGGAGTATCTAGAGGCCCTCGTCTCTGCAGCCCGTGTGGAATATTAGGATATCTGAGAAATCGTGGAAACTCTGGAACCCATCATTATTGCAACAGGTAGCAGGACAGGTCGTAACCGTGAAGACTTGAAACACTATCAACGGAGCCTTCCGATCAACAAAGAAAAACTCATCACCACGTGATGCAAGTGAAATGGTCACTCGCGTGCTACCAGCGCGCGCGCGGCAAGGCCAAAGGGGGGCCCTCGAGTCAGTACAGCTATCGGGAAGAGGGGCCTCGCATAGGGGCCCAAAAGGGGGGACGGGTCGAGGAGATCATCGAAGACACATTCCGGAACATGTGCAAATACAGAAGAACCTTTACACTGGCCACGAGTACCGCGGGGCCTCGAGCGGTCTCCTGTGGATGGCTCAAGGGGCACTCCCAAACAGCTCAAACTGACCTATCTGGCAAATTCCTGAAACACGCCTCAGATACAGTCGAGGCGTTGACCTAAGGAACCCTAAATAAGGAACGAGGCCCCTATTTTCCAAAAGTTGAACTTCGATTTCGCATCGAAAACCTAAGAAGAAAATCCAAGGCAAGCTGCGCAACACTTAAGGAACACGGAGCCCCTCCCCAACGAAAAGGGTTCCTTCTTCATGGCTCCGACTGTAATGGGAGCAAGCGGTTCAAAGAATTGTGGGACGCACGATTCAAAACTGATTTTGCCTCGCCGGCCTGGTTGCCCCCGCACCAGGGAAGGGGGGGAGCAGGCCGACGGAGGGCGGACAATCCCGGGCTGTCTGGGGGAGCAAGAGATGCTTTGACCTCCTCCTCATCAGCCTCCTCCTCCTCGTCCTCCCACTCCCCCCTCCCTCTCCTCCAACTCCTCCTCCTCCTTCTCCTCCTCCTTCTCCCGCTCCCCCCCCCTCTCCTCCTCCTCCTCATCCTCCTCCTCCTGCAAAACCCCGAGGAGGGTTCTGCACGGGAGCCTGGTAACAATGATGATGATAGGTCACCTTTATACTCCCGCACGGCGAAGAAAGTCTCGGTAGCTTCAGCCGTTAAACACTTGAGCCAAAGGCAACAGGGTTACTATTCCTCCCCAGTCACCTGAACGCTTGCATGTTAACACCCCCCCTCGGACGCCAGTCCGTACTGGATGACGGGGAGGTGTCTTTAAACGCAGAGACAGGTTAAACCAAGCAACATGCTGCACACAAATCGTTATAATGCCGAATTCGAAAGATCTCGTGACAACGTTTACGAGCACCACGTTTCTCAGACATGCAACATGAGCTCAAGTGAACGTTCTTGCGGTTGCAAGTTTAAACGTAGCATCCAAAGCTTACACGGCAGGCTAGCATTTATATGATTTTGATTGCTTTCGCTCTTTATTCGCCAATACCTGCGGTAACTACAAAAGATGCACATGCACACAGATTCAGCTCAACAAGCCACTGCAACACGATTGTTAAGCCGAGTTAAGAGGGGAGATGAGGGAGAGCGTAAAAAAAACAGCATGCCGGTCACTGGTCGCCGTTTACGAGCGGCGCGGGCGCCTCACTGACGGGGCGCGTGCGCCCCTGGACCTCGGTAACCCACGATGCCCCACACTAGCCGCTGTGTAGGACGACACCCTGTTAAGGGCCAGCGTCGGGCTGTACTAGTCGGTGTCCAGGTGCGCGTTAATCCGCTCCTCGTCATCGAGCCAGCACCCCTCGTCAAAGCTCTTGATGGACCCGTCAACAATGTTGTGGTAAGTGCCGATGGCCCTCCAGTAACTGGCGTGGGGGGCCTTCAACAGAGGTTTACCACCTGGATTGTTGCGGAGGTGCTCCTCGACCGCAGCGCCGGTAAACGGGTTCACAGTCCAGGTCGGATCGGTAAGCCAGTTGGGGAAGTCGTCGCACGGTAACCATCCAAACCAGCAGAGCTTCTCACGATGGTCGCTTTTACGCTCGGTGATATGATCAGCAGGCCAATTGTCACGGTAAAGTGCCCTCATGGACCCCTGATCGTTAAGAGCGACATCTAGGATGGTCTGGTGCCAGTAGACTGGAGGCCTGTTGATGCTGCCCTTTAACTCCTCGGCGCTCCTGACCTCGAGGTCCTCGATGAAGTAGTTGCGGTAATGCACCTGGAGCCCGTTCATGTAACGGCAATAGAGCTTGGCCAGGTCAGGCGTCGCAAACCGAATTACGGTAACTCCAGTCGAGATGTAACCGTGCGGCCCATAAGTGTCTTCCACCAGATGCTTAACAGAGACCACAGTGGGGTTGCCGTGGGGCAGCATCCCTGCCCACGTTAAGAGAAGGCCGTTAAAGCTGCTTCTCGTTCATCTCCGGCACCTTGTTGACGTACACCTGCGTGTCTGGGCAACTGTGAACGTCAAACCACGATGAGTGAAGATCGTCAACGTGGAGTGGTGGCACGTATTCGTCGTCAAACAAGGACTGTGCGTGCCCCACTGCGTCAACCCACTCGTCGTGCTTGGCCAACTCTTTCTCCGTCAACTGAGATCTCCAGCTGCTCGGGCCCTTCAACACGGAGTAGCCGATGAAACCGTAAGCATGTTGGCCGTAGATGTCAACGAACACTTCATCGTAGTCGTTAAGCTCCCGCCCCGCGTTGCCCTGAATGGACCGACCGCCAGGAGTCGTTAATCCCGCCTTCGCCACATGCCCGACGAAGTTGCCCTCAAACCTGCGCCAGTTGTCGCGCGTCTTCATCGTTAATGCGACTACCTCCCTGGGGTTGGGTTCCGCCTTGTAGTTGACGTCGTGGTCCTCGCTCCTGTCGTTCACCATGGGCATGTGGCCGTTGACGTGGTACAGTGGGCGGTAAACAGCCCTGGCAATGTTCCGAGAGTATGCCGCAAGCTGGTCGTTCGTGCGGTTAACAGCTTGAGGCTGCGGTGGCGGGATGTGCTGGACCGATAACTTCTTGGGCTCCGGAGGCGGGGGCTTCATGCCGCTAACGCGGCTCGATGCACTTGACTCGCCAAGGCCCGGAGGAGGCGGCTTGGGCGCCCTCACGTTCACAACAGGGGCAGGACCTTTTGGTGCTTCGTCACGTTGACTGCTCTGCGCACGATCTTCATCCATCTTCATGCCGATCTGCAGTAACTCTTCCAATTCCCGTTTACGCTCATGCATGGCCTTGGGTGCTTTCTTGTAAACAGGTTGCGGCGCCGTTGACTGAGGGATCTTATTCGGCGACATGGACCGACCGAACCCTCCGGTCTTGGGCGCGGTGCCGGTAAGGTCCTGAGCCGGGGGCGCGCCCGAGGCCGCGGAAGCTCGGGCCAGAGGCTGGCTAGCCTCGGCCGCCGCGGCGACGGCAGCGGGTGGCGCCTTGGCGATTGCTGCCGTTGGGGGCAGCTCGGGTAACGGCGGAGGCACCTGCGGGATGATGGTAACCGAGGAACTGATCGGGTCATTCAAGAACCTCTGTAAACCTTCAAGTCTCTCGGTAACTCCCACCAACATGCGTAGTGCCGCATCCCGTTTGCCCTCGAAGTCCTGCAGGGGCGTGATGTTCTCGGCAAGGCGTCTGGCGGTGTTCAGGAGGTAACCAATGTTGTCGTTGATGCGCCTGTACTTGGTCGCATTCTCCGCCGTGTTAACCCCCGAGTCACGATTCTGGATGTTCAGCTCCGTAATCGTCGCCATCAGAGCGTTAATCTCGTCTTGCGCCCTCTTGAAATTCTCGTTGACGTCGTCACTGGCGTGGATCAACGCATCGTTCTGCCGCGTTAAGTCCTCGATCCTCTGCGCCATGTCATCGGCGGCCCTTTGCACCTCGTCAACGTGTTTGTCGTAGGCCCCGTGAAAGTTAATCGCCATGTTAGTGAGGGTCACGGTAAACGCGTGGGCAACGTTGACGATGTCGTCAACACGGCGGTTGAGGTTCTCACGCGTAACCGGTCCATCCCCAGGCGGGCCCTGGTCGACCACGGAGCCGTTGATGGTGAGGTTGACCTGATGAGCCGCCATGCTTTCGTTCACGCCCAAGAGTGAGAGGTAATGGGCGGAGATGGCTTTAATCGAGGCAGCTTGCTTGATAGAAATGAGCTGCGAGTGTCAACATTCGGTGGCCGGCGCAAGACCATGCCTGCCTGTTACTGCACATTGATTCGTGTTTCGTAGGTGTGCGTTCATGCTCTCACGACTGACATACTTGGTTAATGCATCAGCTGTGTTCTCATGTGTTCCTACTTTCACAATACGGAGTACTCCCTCCTTTACCTTCTGCTGTAACCACAGTTGACACACTTCAATATGTCTCACTTTCCCCAAGCCTCGTCTGCTCGCAATGGCAATCGCAGCCGTGGCATCACTCTTCAGGGTGATCTCAACTTCCAGGTTAAAATCTCTCAGTACTGCCTGAAGTCCTAGACCAACCGATCCTCCTTTTACCAGTCCA